CCTTTTCTAAGAATGACTGATGTACATGTTTTATACAAGCTGAAATGTTTAAGAGATAAAGAGAAATGGATAATTTATTCGCTGGTCCTTTTTAAAAATGAAGAGCAAAGCTAGAAAGTAGAAATGGAAAACAACGTTTAAGGGCTCAGAAAATGTTCAGTAAAACAGACATTAATGCAATAACCTCAACCTTTTCTCTTTTGCTCTCTGCTGTCATGCAAAATATTTGCCTAATACTTTATAGTACAAACTTTATATTAGTGTAATTCTAATCAATGGATGTTAATATTTTAAAATATGCTTTATGCAACAAATACAAAAAAAAACAACTAACAAACACCAATTAAAACATCACATTTTTTGTGACCGAAATAATGCAAATATTGCTTTATGCTTATTTAGTATTTTCACTTTCTAATTGACTTTTTTAATGTGACTCAACAGACAAAACAAGCAGAAGAAATCAACTGATAGTGTTGAATTATGGCTATTAAACATAGCAATTAAACCAAGATTTTTCTCCGTACGTATATTTGTCCTAATATATCTGGATATAAAATTCAAAAATATTTGACATTTTTTCAGTATAAGTATCCAAAAGCCTTAAGAATTTAAAAGGACAAATTATCTTTTACCCAGAAAAAGTAACAAAAAATATCATGTTTTTGAAATGGCAACTATACACCACAGGAGCATTTAGTATAATGGGTTATATTCTGTGTGAGACATAAGGTACTTTTAGGAGCCCTCTGCTGACCTGGAGCGTTGAAGAAAATGTATGAACTAAATGTATTCTTATTGCTGGTCTAATCCAAAGAAGGAAGAAGAAAAAATAACTAAGCTCAAGAAAGAATAATTACAGAATGTTCTTCTGTGAATTTTAACCAGCAAAGTTTATTTATATATAACAACAGTACAAAGTGAATCCTTGGCTTGCAAAATAGGTGTGCTTCATATTTACAATAGGTACACAATAATATATTATAATAAAATCAAAAGCAAATAAAAAACCAAGAGAACAACCTTCTTAAATACTTTAAGTTCTTACAATTTTCACAACACTTTTATAAAACAAGAACAGACAGCCATTATTATTATTATTATCATCAATGCCAGTAATTGCTATTTTACAGTAATCCAGTGTCAAAAAAGTTTTTTTTTTCTTTCCTGTTAATATGTGTTTAGAATGGAAGGATACTCACTTTATATTGAGAGTAATACATTGATTGGGACTTGAGTTTTGTCTGTCTGGTGCCATCAAGCGAGGAAACAAGCTGAAACTGGAAGAAGGTTTCACAAAGCATTTTCCGCCTGTGTTTGGATTCACCTGAAATGAGGTTTGCTAGCATCTCTACGTGTCTCTCACAACTGGCAGTAATCAAATGTAATTCTGCACTGCAGAATGAGTTAAGAAACGTTTCTCTCTTTTATTAAAATTAAATTAAAATGAGCGTACAACATAGTAACACAAGCAATCACTTCATAACAATAACAACAACAAAAAAATCTCTTTTCACAATAAAAGGTGCTGCGATTTTAAGACATGTACAAATGGAAGAATAGCCATCAGGCTAAATTATACCGCAGATCGATATGTCCACAGAAAAACACAAGGCAGAACTAAAGCACAAATCAGAATGCATGCATAAATATCAGATGGGAGACATCTGGATAACAAATGATTTAAGAGAGAAAAATAAAGCCATTCTTAACCAGTTGGAGCCTAACTTTGTCACAATCCTGTGTTACTGGGGAACTCACAGGACAGCTGGAAGGATTCTGTTAAACATTTATTTATTCCTTGAAAAAAGGAAGAAAAAAAAGGCAATAAGGTCCCATCAAAACAGAAAGCATTACTCTGTATAAGCAATGTGAGGTATGAGGAGGATACAATTCTAGTCGCTGAAACTGGGAAGACACCTTCATCAAAAGGAGGAAGAAGCTTCATTTTCTCTAAATACTGCAAGTATGTGTGCACCGTTTTGTACCTAAAAGTAATTATCAGACAATTACAAATAAATGGAAAAAAAACAACAAAATTAACAAATAACACGGTGACCTTACCCTGTAATTTACTGTAAGTGTGTCATAAATATTCTGATTAACAGATAATATCTCGAAGATGTTTCAGGAAAATTGATATTTTATATAAACCTCATTTTTAGATTGCAAGCTCCCTCTTTTCCTCCAATTAAGCTCATAAGGCTGTTTTTTTTCCAGATTTTTTTTAGCTAAAGGTCAGCCATCCTGCAGGGAGAGGAACTGTTTCTACGGCACGGAAGGAAACATGTTCTTCACTTTTAAGGTCAAATGTAAGCTGAAAACATGATTGCTAAATGTTGTGATTGTGGAAATCGGGTCTGATGTCTGCTTCAGACAGGTCCAAAGGATGAAATAAGGTCCATATGGTCTTGCAAAAGTATTCACATCCCTTGAGCTTTTCCCCATTTATTCAAGTTACAAACACAGACTCCACTTGTTTAGATATTATGTGATAAAACGAGGCAAAGCAGAATAAAAAAGCTAAAATCAAAGGGGAATGGTTTTGATTCTTTATAAATTAAAAAATGTGTGCTAGAAGCTTTAGTGTTGAGTCACATTTTACCCCTATGGGGCTCATTGTAACTCTGGGGGAGCAGCAGAGATCCATAAATCAGATGGAAGAATCTGAACATAATAAATGATCAGTCAAGCACTTATTTGATGGGGAATTGGTAAAAAAAAAAATATAGCCACAAGAAATCCCATTTAAAGAGACCAAAGCCATAGAGGGGACACGTTAGACATGTAAAGCAAGTTCTATGTTTACATGAATCCAAAGTTTATATTTTCAGATTTGTATTAATAGAATAATCAGTATACATTACATTTAGCTGGTGAAACAGTAAAAATACCCAAAAATACATAGGATTTGAAATTTGATGCAGTCAATTAAGAAAATATGGAAAGAAAGCTCTCAGGTTGTGAATACTTTTGCAGGTAACTGTCAAATTTTGCTTTAATTACAGCAGGTGCATTAACATACTACAGTTCTCTGTGCTCACTCCTGCCCCCACTGGCCGGATGCAGTAACAGCCACTGATTCCTCACGTCATCCAGCATTTCTCATTGCCTTAGTTTGACGTTTTCTCCTGATCACAGACACACAACCAAACTCAGATCAAAGAACGGCTTCAAAGCCAGAGGGGGAATCCAGAGCTAAAGGGCCTCTCTCTCTCACTCATTCTACCCCTCCATCGCTTTCTCTGTGCTTCTCTTCAAACAGCTAAGGAGAGTCGAGAGCTGGGAGAGGTGCTGCCTGCCTCAGTCTGGCCATAACCTCTCCACCTCTTCTTTTTATATAGTCTCACAGTTCTCAGCTAAGTGCCAATGCCAGGATTCACAGAAAGCAGGTGTCCTGGCCAAGGACTGGTACGATCAGGGAAAATTAAACAGGTGGGAATCTAAGGCCACAAAGAAAAGAAGCACCTTTCACCCACCAGGTACATGCGCTCTACACACAAAAAAAACTCTACAAATCTATTTTCAAGTACTCAATGTAAACAACAAGCGAACATGTCTTGGAAGAAAATAAATCAGCTCTCGGAAGGGTTATAATCTACAGGTTTTAGCTTGGTTTCATTCAGGGGATGCATTAAAATGGCATGAATATTTTTTTTTCTTTTAACCTCTAAATTTCAGTTTTCAGTCCATTTTCATATTGTACCTTTCAAAACTCACCAGTCCAGCTATCTGAGCCTTGAAGTCAACCCAAAATCTATCCTCTGTCTGTAAAGCATAAACCGATTTGGACACATTAGAGAGTGAAATGAAACAGTGGGATCTTTTGGCACTTTATCAAACTGAACCCATGTAGAGCTCTTATGATGTGGGCTAAAACGTTACCTTTAGATGGACGGGATGATCTGTGGACTGCAGTCACATCCCTACTGACTCATTGGCACTTGATAAAACCCAAACACTTGGAAATGTTTACACATCTGATGTGAGGTATTGGGTATGCTGTGCACTGGAAGTTGATCATGCTGCCTTAAAGACACATTTTTTGGGAATGTAATGAACATTTGTGAGTTTGTCCCAATTAGACTTTTGTTCCAGACCATAAAAAAAGACAAAAAAATAAAACAATACAGTCCTATACATTGAATAGTATATGGACTTCTCCAAACCAAATGTTCAGATTGCTGAGGAAAGCCTTTAACACCAGAGCGATGCAGGTCTGTGGTCACTTCGCCTACATTACTCTCAGTTTTGTGTTTCATGCATGCTGGCAAAAATATAACTCCAAAAATTAGAAGCTGCTCATTTTTCGGTTAAGAGCAGAAGCTATTTCTTTTACATTTCTGATCACACATAGAGCAGCACTTGTTCATGTACATATTCTGTGAAGCATCAGTCCAAAATGGGAAGAAGTGAGATAAAATGGGTATCTTTACATAACGGAGTTAGGGATAATCAGTGGATATTTTCTTGAACTGCAGCTGATGATATTCACATTTACAGAGTAGAAAAATAAAATCTGACTATTCTGAATGGCCAACATGACATTGGCCTTTCACCTTTGTTTTCCTTTCTTGCCATTTCTCACTCAGATGGTGGCCTCAAGGCTAAATCTGTTTCTCCATTTGCTTTCACAGTCTTACACAAGTCTTCCTCAGTATGACACACACTCTCATGCACACCCACACATGTGAACACCCACACGACATGCAATTTCCTGCCAAATCTAGAGAGGGTCCTTTGAGGAAAACGAAACCAACTCAATGTCCCTTTCCAATAGAGTTGTTATTTCCAGCTGAAGAGCCACTGTTTCAGTCCTGTGGGCACCAACGTGACGGCAGGGGGAAAGAATCGCAAACTAAAGCAGTTGTGTTTGTCCGGCTGTAGATTACAAAGGTCCCGCATCCAGATCGTGGTTAAAATTTCCCACGATGAGAGGTAAGTAATGACCTTTTAGGTAGGTCCGTCTGTCCTTTCTTCCCCCCACCCGCTTTGTTTTGGCAGCGTTCACCTTCAGCTCTCCAGAGACATGGCAGAGATTAGCTGTTCCACCTTGTAGGCCAACCTCTGTTTCCTGGCCTGCTCCTCCTGCTCCAGAGCGGAGACAATCTGCAAACAACAGTAAGAAATGTGTTAAAAAATCTGACTAAAAAAACTAAATTGGCCTTTAAAATGTAAGGGACCTTAAAAAAACTCTTCTTAGCATTTGATTCTTTACAATTTTCAACATTAAAACAATAAACAATGTTTGTGCTTGAAAAACACTTTCATTTATAGTCTATATGAGTTATTTCTTAAACTAAAACAAGGCTTTGACTTTAGTGAATTTTTTTTTTATTTATTTTTTTGCTTTTAAAAGTGTGGCACATATTTCTATCAACCCCCTTGGATAAGTACTTTGTAAAACTGCTTTACACCTCTTTTCCACTTCTGCACAGATAACTTGATGCACAGAAACTTTTAGAAGTATTTGTAAGTCTTGTCTCAGATTCTTATTTGGATTAGGCTCTTTGGTATTTAATATATATATATATATATATATATATATATATATATATATATATATATATATATATATATATATATATACACATATCAGTTGAAGTCTCTTATTTAACAAGATTATTGCACAGGTTATTGCACAACATTATTGCATAGGGTGTTAAATAGGTATTTATATATATACATAGTTATTGCACAGGGTATTAAATAAAAATAGATTATTGCACAGGGTATTAAACAGTGATTGCACATTAGTTATTGCAGGTATAGTTATTGCAGAATATTACTTGCAAGTAAAAATTTAACACCTTAAATTCCTTCCATAATTATACGGATACAAATATAACAATAGGACAATTTTTGTATTTTTCAAATTTTGCAAAAATGATTTGCAAAAGAAAAGTTTAAAGGTATAAACACTTTTGCAATGCACATCATGTGTCACGGCAGAGTAAAGTATGTATTTATGAGCCTTTGTATGGACATTGCATGAAAGAACATGTCTTAAAAAAAAAAATAAAAATCATCCAGTGTTTTATCTTCTGAGCCCCGTCTTTTAAATTTGGCATTTGTCAAGTCGGGTTCAAAAGGCAGTCAGCTAGGCTCTCCCCTCAACTCTCTAATCATGTGTCAACTTGTCAGGGTGCATCTCTGTCAGTGTGACACCAACATACACAGCAAGGCCCCTTCGTATGAACAGAAGCTGAAACCCTGACGCTTTTATTGCCTTTGATATGCAGCCCTGTGTTCAAATGCCACAATCCATGGTTTGTGAATTGAAGCACAGTATCTGTTTGCTCCTGTCAGCTATTGATATTTACAAAAAAACATATTCCTTATCCCTGTACCCATCCTCTATGTAATGGAAATGATACTTGGATAGATGACACATTCAATATGAATAGAGGTGGGTTGTTATACAGTTTTAATATTTAATTAATAATGAATTAATTAATTATGTAGTAATGTAATAAGATCTTCAAGATTTAGAATAAGGTGCATTAATCTTTTTAGTAAAATGCATCAAGGGGCGTGTTGTGGGTGATCTTCAAAGAGTGCAGCACAAATGCTAAAACGTGTAAACTGTTTTTGTTCTGCACATTAAAATGAGCAGATAGCAAGTTCTACGGCCAGTTAGAGTGGTCATAAAATAAAGATAAGATTATAAGTCACATAATTGGAGTTAATAATGATAAAAGTCATTCAAAACTAATGATGATGATGCCAACTAATACTCATAGAGCACTTTAAATAGGTAGCCTATCCCAAAGTGCAACGAAACAGAGTAAAAAATAAATAAAAATGATAACGATGACTTTAGTCAGATCTGAAAAAAAAAAAAAAGAAATATACAGTGCAGCATGGCAAATTGTATTTGATGATTGAACCTACTTAGAGTTGATTAAACAAACTCTCAGCAGCTTTTATGAAACCAAAAAGTCAGAGTTTCCATCCTTAAGCTAGATCAATTCAGAGTTAAGGATTTAAATCTTGAGTTTATTAAACCTGCTTTGTGAAATGGACCTGCTATCTGCTGAACTGCAAATGCAAATCACTTTGCAACTTCAACGAAGGTCTGTTCTGAGCATATGGCGCCACATTCGTTTCAAAACCCCCCTGAGCAAAATAAACATACTCACACCACATGTATGTTAAACTACTTCAGATGAACATACAAAAATGTTTACACCTGTCTAAGATGAGCATACTTGAAGATTAGCTCCAAAATGTAACTTAATGAAAAACTAAAATTTAATCTGAGGCTATTCATTAAATTTGAAGTCACATGATACAAAACAGCATTTTATTAGTGTTCAGTTTATCACCAGTGGCACAGGAAATTGCATCCCTGCTGTCAATCCTTCGTTGAACCAGATTTTGCCAGTACTTGAGTACTCTACATAAGATATGATGAAGCTGGAGCACACGAAGAAAAGGACCACTAAGCAGTTCTGTTTGAACTATCTCTGTTTTATTTCTTCAGCAAACTCAACAGATTTTCTAAGTATGTCAAAAAAAAAAAGTAAAAAACAGACCAATTATATTTCATATTCTTAGGCAAACAAATTATGTTGTTAAGGTGATGTTTAATATCTTGTGGAGAACATTTAAAATAAAGGTACCTAAACAAAAAGGAAATGCATCTGTATCCTTTCCTTTTTTTTTAAAAGAATTTAAAGCAGCTAATTTGCTTCCGGATCTGATGCAGAACAAAGTATCTGCATGGCCACCCGTCATCTTCCACTCATCTGTTTAAGTGCTCTTAACAACTCATGGACAGACATAACATTTTTTTCCTCATTGTTGGGCCTATTATAATCCATTATTAATCTGCAGTCCTATATGTAGGTGCAGCTCTCTCCATTTAAGAAGCTGCTGCTGCTCCGGCCTGGTTAGCTTGATGTTCTGGCTTTTGTGAAGGGCTGAGCAAACCAATTAATGGGACTTGATGATGTTTTTCCCCACCAGACGCAGTGGGAGTAGTGGTACGCTGTTTGTGTGAGTGTGAAAAATGAGCATATTTGTAAATGCCTCCATAAATGTGAGCATCAGACAATGACAAGTGCAGAGGCAGCAAAAGCAAGAGCGTAAGATTTATGAAGAGCAAAGCGGTAGCTGACTGGATAATGAGCAAAAAGTGAAGAGAAGAACAGCAGGAAAAGAAAGAAAGAGAGGGGGAGACAATCAGAGACCCAGAGAGGGAGAAGAAGTTGAACATAAAGGTCAGACTGAAGCTTCCCACAGGAGGAGCTGACATTAGAACCAGAATGTCTCCATAAATGCCTTCACTTTCCCTTCCTTGTTCTTTTTTATGTTTCCTGTGATCTAATGGTGAGTGTGCTGTCTGTGATTCTGCCCATGAGATCCACACTGTATATCACAGCTCTAACTCTGCTCCAGCGAGCGGACAGCGCAGCATGCTGACAGCTTGTAGACATTTACTTTCTGCAGAGGTAAGATCAGTATGTTGTTAAGCATAGGTCCTACCAGACCTTTGGGCTTTTGGGGGGGAGATAACCGAGCTGAGTGACCTTAATAACCTTTGCTCAGGTACACCAAGAGCCTGACAATGCAGGACAAATTTGCAGCATTTTTATTTTTTTTTTTGGTTTCATATTATTCTGACAATTGGCTTGTAATTAGCAGCTGATTTGCAGAAGAAGCAGCTCATTATGTAATCAGTTGTGCAGACCGTTATGTAGGTCATATGTGCAGTTGGACAAAAACACATAAGAAGATGAGAGATTTGTCATCATCAATAAAACAAAGAAATAAGTTTTAAGCTGCTTATTAGTCCAGTAGGAAGTAAGGTCAGATTCTTTTCTTCTTAATAATTAATATGTAGACACAATATGAATTACTTTCTGAGTTAGCTTAGTTAACTTAAAGATTTATTTAAATAATTGTTGATTTTCTTTTTCTATCAAGAGGTTCCCTTTGTTTTAAACCTACTTTTCCCAAAACATTTTTTCTACTGTCATTTTTAATTATACAGCTCTTTCATTTCATATCTGGTTAAGTTTAGGTGAATCACATTTTTTTGTAACCATTTACTAATTTCTATGGATCAGCACACCTCGGCTTTGCCTAAATGACATGTTATCTTATTTTCTTTCCCATTTTAAAGGGAAGTAAGTATCTGTCTGGCCACAAAGTTACACTGCAAAGAAATAAAAAGATTATTGATTGAACTAAATACTTTTCTTTAGTGGCATTTATTTACTTTTTTTTTTAAACAAACTAAATAAATTAAAGTTTAAAATTTCAAATTAAAGTTTAAAATTTCTATTCATTTAACATCACTCTACAGCAATAAAAGAACAACTTTAAAGCTTTTTATTTGTCTTTAAAAAGTGTGCCAAAGATGTGGAAGGTGCTTTATGTATAATGTCAGAGGGAAATTTGCTCATACAGGTAAATATGCATGAAGCGGAATTCCTATTAATCCATCAACAGGAGTAAAACCTGGGAAATGTAGTTAAATATAACATGAATAAGCAGCTGAGGAAATGCGGAGCAAAGTTGCTGCCTTTAGTAAGAGGTTAAGTTTGGTTTTGTCACATTATTAAGTATTTTTCATACATATGTGTGGTTATAGTTTAGCAATTGTATACCGTATGCTCTAGGTGCCTCTGAAATAAACACACTTATTCAGAAAAGTTATTAGCTTCTAATTAATATTTCATTTCATACTTACTGTTACACATTGCAGCTTTACCAGAAGGTGCTAATAGATGGTATCTAAAAAAGTGAGAAAAACTGCAGCCACCTCCAGTGAGTGCATTCAGACCTACCTCCTCACTGTATTTGCTGACATAAGAGTAGATCTCATTGAGAGCGCTGAGCATGTTAAACTCCGACGAGTGGAGTCTGGCCTGCTCGGCCAAATAAGCGTTCATGTCCTGGTCACTAATGGCCGGCATCCGGGTGATATCAGCGTAGTACCTGGAAACATAGGCAACAGAAACACTTTGAGTCATTCACAGAGTCAATATGATCATTTGACTGAGTTTTTATTACTTTATAGTTGGATTTTTGAGCCATTACACCACTTACATTGACAGCCGATGCCTGCTATCATTTACTTACTAAGTGCTTTAACAGACTTTGTCTGAGACATTGAAGGAAAAACGAGCTTTTGGAACCAATTTCTAAAGATCCCGTTTTTGGTGAAAGAGGAGACTAAAAAGTGTTTTAGTGTCGATGTTGAAAATAGTGGCTTCTCCTACCTTTCTACCCAGCTCTTATAATTAGGGATATCTTTAGCGTAGAGCAGCTTATTAGAGGGGGAGTCTTTGCCCAGCCGGTGCTCTGATGTGGAGCAGGAATCCATAAAGGTCTGAGCTACCACAGATAGGCAGGCGTCCGTGATGCTGCTCTTATGGATGTCAAACACAAACTGAGGGTTCTTGATCACATTCACCCAGAAACGCAATGGAAGGCTAAAAGATGGAGATTAAAAACACCAGTTAAGGACAGACAGGGATACGGTATATCCAGTACTGCCATTTAGTTTTCTCTCTCTACAAGTCTTACCAGTTACTTTTCCACGTGTGACGGACGTCTGTGTCGTAAATCCCATGTCTGTCTGCCTGCTCATCCAGGAAGTCAAACATGTATTTGATGGCCAGGGGAAGCGTACTCCCTCGATGAACCGTGCTGAATAATGTCTCAAACAAGTCATCCACAAATTTTTGTAGAGTGCCCTGTAAAAGGAAATAAAGCACACCATGTTAGAACCGTACATCATGGATTTCTTCCAGGACAGTCCTTTTTTTTTTTTTTAGCTTCCTTCATCTATCAAATGTTCTGACAAAGAGGGCTATGATGCATCTTACATATCTATCATTGTCCAATTTTTTGTGTTGGTCTGCATCTAAGCCAGAAAGTGCATTTATTTTATTAATCTCATTATAAAACCTTCCATGTTTGCTGAGCCCCTTGAAGCGCTGCAGGTAAACTACAAACAGAATATCTGAATGCTTTATTTTAACAATATTTTTATATTTTCTGGTCTGTCATGCAGGTCTGCTTTTTTCCTCATGATGCAGTTTGTTCATTAACGCTCTCTAATAAACCTCTGAGACTTATGCCGAACAGATGGCTTTGGGCTCACACTGACTACAGTGCTGCAGCAATGCAACTTTATCACGTTTTGCTGCTGTTACTATTATTTAGGAATATCCGATTAATGGGACATCATTCTGATATGTATCTTTGAAAATATTTGAAAACCAATCCCATTTTCCATTTCCAATTATCCATAACCTCTAGAGTTTCTGTGATATATAATCACAATGATATGCATTATAATCTAGTTGGAAAATCTTTGAAAATGTTGAGTCAATATGAATATGTTCGCAAAAGATGACTAAGTGTTGCAACAATTCTTCATGTGTAGGTGGCAGTGTGTCGATGTACCTTTGTAGCTAGTAACCGGGTTAGATAAATCTCAGACACCATCTTGCTGCCCCGATCTCCTTCCTTCTGGTCTCCATGTTCATGGTTCTTCACTAAATGCCACACCTTCACACCGCTTTCTAGATCTGGTGTGATCATGGGAGCGCGTGACCTGAGGCTGTCTGGACTACCTGTGTAACGGAATGACGAGTCTGTCCAGAACAGAGAAAAAAAGACAGATATAGAATTATGAATTGACTGAGAAAACCTCCAGTCCTAAAGTGTACAGATGATTATAGGAAAATTCATGGCCATAGGTGCCTTATTATTTGTTTATTTGAACAGATTTTCCTTTTACAACCTGGAGCAACCATTAACCCAGCTTAACAAAATGAACGCACAAATTGGTTGCAAACAGTTAAATTAAAATATTTGCTGAGCCACAAAAGTAAAAATAAAATATATATATGCTTAAGAAATAATCATAGATTAAACTAAACCTTTAAATATGTGAAGCCAAATCATCTGGAGAACATCAATTTAACACAGCCAAGGCCTATTAACCTCATGGTAGCGAAGAATTGACTAAAGCTGGCAGTTTCTCTTTACCTATGCTGAAAGGATTTAACAGCAAACAAACCCTCATGGGGGCGACTATTACTCTGAACAGCAAGAAGGCCGTGTATCTGAGACGCATGCATTGTACACAATCCATGTAATATTGTTGGACACCAACAAAGAAGGAAGCCTGTTTTCCAAACTAGATCAAAGGGCATTTAGGGGAAAAAGTTATTTCATCCCAGATAAAGAATTTAACATCTAAGCACAATATTAAGAAGTTTGTTAGAATAAAAATTAAGATAAGCCTTTTACACACAACGTGGTGGTGGTGAATTATGCTCTTGGGCTTTTTCTTTAACAATACTCTGCAAAATATGTGTGTTCTAGGTGCATCCTAATAAACCTTTACCAAAGTTGTTTACCACATACAATGCCTTCAACATCCAAACTTTGGTGCCTAATTCTCTTTAAGGAAACCCCAGATGTCCTTTGCCTAATCATACCAGAACGACCAGTTCAAATAATCATTACAAATTCACATTCATGATAAGATTCTGTAAATGCAGGGTGGAAACAGGACTTCTGCAGCTTCTCTGTCGTTCATCGTAACACAAACTAATTTTGCATGCATTTCGAAAAGAATACTGCTTCCTACGTATGCTGTTTATTCACCATTTGGTTTCTTTTTCTCTGTCATAAACAATGAGATAATGATCATCTTTTATCCTCCTCATCACTTATTCTTTCTACTTATATAATCCTCCCCTCATAAGGGTTGTGCCTGGCTTCACTTAAAAGGCCTCATAATCTGCTTTTCCCCAAACAGCATGTTTAAAAGAAATCTCTGTCACGCTCTCATCAACGCATCAAAAGATCCCTGATTTGTAAAGCACCGTCCTTCACCCGTACATCCGACTCGTGCTTCCTCCTTGCACTCTCACTCCGAATGATGCCGGTTTTAGTTTCACTAATTAGTCGGCATCTACTCCAGGCAGCGGCGTCTCTAGAGATTCACGATCTGAGGATCCCGTTTGAGGAGCTCTCTCACCTGCCTTCAAAGGCCGAGAGGAACAACAAAGCATTAGCTGCCATTTAAGCCCCTTATACCTTTCAAATGAGACCCCACTGCACCCCTGCAGTGGTCACTGGGGATGGAGAAGTTTGAATGCATTCACTGGGTGGATTGTGATCATAAATCTGTTCCTAATCCAGTCGCTGATTTTCACTTCCCTCCTATTCCCATATTTTGTGTGTCTTCTCTATTTCTGAAGGCCTTTTTGTTTTTGCTAACTGAATGGTTCTTGTGGCACATAATGCATTAAGTTGCTAAAGTCAGAAAATGACATTAAAATGAATCCATCTTCTGTTCTAAGCCTTAATGAAAGTCAGGCTCAGGGAATTGCCGTCTTGTTCCTAATTAACTTTGCCATCAACAACAACAAAATAAGATCAGGATAACTATCATATCCTTCCTGTTTTAACTTTAATGTTCTATTTAAATGAAAATAAGTAAAAAGCAGTCTTTCTAAAGGTCACTTTAGACGAGATCTGTTAATAAATGCCTTGCCTATTTATTTTACACTAAATACTAAGTAAATGTATTGTTCTCCCCAGAGTTCACAGGTACCAACCCTCTCTGTTATCTGTAAATAAGCTTAATTGCTTGGAGGAATAAGGGTGTTCTTAGCTTGTTTTTTGTGTTAGACAGTTTGAAGGCAGACTTCAGCTCCTCTCCCCCGGTCCTCATAATTGGCCCTGCTCGCTTATCTTTGCTCTGTTTGTGTGAAGCATCATTCACACAGAATAATTAACAATCATGAGTCGCATGGTGGTGGTGCCGCGTCAGTCTGGCAATGGACCAAGATTTGGTACCAGACGGCCCAAAGTAAATAACACATCTGAACGAATGCAATAACTGCAGCCGACGGTTAGCCATGGACTGTGTCATCAGAGTTGAAGGATTAGGGAATTCAAGATCAAATGAAATAAAGAAAGACTGTTGAACTTCATTGTAGACTATTATTTAGAGCATCATCTTTTACTACAAAGCATTATACATAACTCTGATAAAATGTGTTTTACTAAGTTAATTCAATTAAGTTACGATCACATGTTTTTTTGTTTAAAAAAGACAGAGAGGGATATTAACTAGTTTTATTTACTCATTTAATTAGGTAATTAGATAACATTTTGAAAAAACAATCACTTTTAGAAGTAGTTTTTGTGTACCATTACTCTTACTTTGGAGGTATTCATTTTACTGTAAGTATTGCTACTCCTACTCGAGTAAAATCCCTGGCAACTTTGTCCCCTGATATTAAGTTGAACTATTCAGAGAGCTAAATATCATTATAACAGATATTGTTACTGGACATTCTTCAACTCTGCTTAAAATATATACATTAATCACAGTAGGGACTATTTTACAAGTGTTATTTGCACAAACATTGGTTTTCGAAAATGATTTCTTCTGCAGGGAATTATTTGGTAATTATGTAACTTATTTGTATTTTTCTATGTATTTTTGTCTTTAAAATAACAGAATTATACATAAGATTTGTTTGACTTCATTATCTTTATGCATTAAATAAGACTTGATGATCCAAATATTACTAGCATTTTTACCAAGTATTTGTTACTAATATTTAAGTAAATTCTTATATTACAAATATTTACTTGTTTGTACTAGAGTAAAAAAATGTTGAAGTAGTGCATCTCTTACTTGAGTACATTTTTTGGATTCTCTACTAACCTCTGAAAAAGGAAGACATAAAAGACTAGATACAGTTCTGCTGAATGACCTTTTTTAGTTAACTCCACTTTGTGCCAGAAACAGAGTTGAAAATATCTCATCATCTCAACTTTTTTAGGTAAATTCATAAAGAAGTATCTCATGAATGGCAGATGGTTACTTGTAATTTTTTGAAGGAGAGCTTTAGGAGCAGACTAAGCCTTTTAAAGAAGAGACAAACCTCGCAATCTGCTATATTAAAGGAAACTACATATTCCTGGTACGTATAAATAAATTATGTGTTTTTGAATTTTTCTACATTTTGTTTCACTTTGTTTCTACCCATGGAGTTTGGATTGAATTTCTCTTTCTAGTTTCACCACACAGAAAAAAATGTTCTCCCTTAAACCAAAACTTTGCAAAATATAATGGATTGCTGTATTTTATTCAAAATCCATCCCAAGCGCACATCCTTACAAAGTTTGAACTGACTTAAGAAATAAAGTTGGAAGAATTAAAAACCATCACAACATAGACAAGGATCAATGCTGCATGGGTAGAATTAGTTTTTTTAAAAACATGTTTTTTTCTCTCTGTAGATTACAGAACGATTGAAGCTTTAAAAGTAAGAAATTTGACTTTCTTTGCCCTGATAATTTAGTTAACTTCACCGTTTGATATTACCTATGGAAATCACACCAACTGATAGTCTGGGTAGGCTGTGAAAGGTTCCTAAAAATATATGTTTTTGGGGAGAAATCTACCTATAGTTGCAAGTTCAAAAGGGGTATTGAACAACCAAATAAATCCACACTAGGTTCTGGAATAGCTCTTTGAAAGGCAGACATTATTACTCTAAAGTAAAGAAAAGCAAACGCTGACTTCAGCTATCATCCCCACTTTTATTGCTTTCTTTTATTTATTCCACATCAATAACTTTCAGCAGTTTGAAACTTTAGAAGTACGCAAACATTCTTTAAGAGTTAAAGCCACCGTTGCTGTGGAACAAATGCGGTTTGCTGACTCACCATATCTGCTGATGGAGGTACGGGTTATGCTCGCTGAGGAAGGAATGTTGTAAGATGAGGTTTGCTTGGGAACCAGAGCCACCACGCTACGGTCTGAGACCTGGGTGAGGAAACACACAACATGAAAAATGTTAGATTTCTAGAACATATTTAGGCACTAATGGCCTTTTTTTGTTATTTTGAAAGTAGGTAGACAGGAAATGGGTGAAGAGGAAGGAGGAAGACATGAGGCAAAGGTCACCAGGTTGCATCTTGGACCAAAGCTTCTACAGGGGTGGCGCTCTTAATTCCACACACCACCGCCGCCCCCCAAAAAATATATCTCCTATTTATCAAAGAAATGTTATGCTTTAATTGAATAAAATAAGAAATAACAAATTTATTAAAAGTCTTCTAAAAAAAAACCTTATTACTTATTGCTGCTCCCTGTTGTGCTGCATCACGACCCCATCCATCGCTTTTTTGTAGCAGTGCTGCAGCTGCATGATGGCCTTACCCAACATGACTTTCATTGTTAATCCTTTCAGAAATGTTAGAAGGATGAGGTAAGCTTTGGAACTGCTAAATGATGCAAAACGAGGGAGGGGATGAGGAAACAGAAAAGGATGCTGAATGCCTCATGTCGTGTACTTATCCCGCTTACAATAAATTGTTACTGCAAGTATATTAATAACAATAAAACAGCTCAGGCTGATTTCAGACACTCGGTATGATTCTCCTACCTCATGGGATTGATATTTATCAAGACTTTTAGCCGGGTGTGTTCACTGAAAAGCTGGGGGTTAAGGAACACCCTGCAGCACAACCATGCCTTTAAAAATCACCTGAAGAGATGATTTTGATATCAAATAATTTTTCAGTGTAATTAATGAATGCTACCGCTGTTTGCAAACCAAAACATCTCTGCTTGAGACATGTAAAGCGTAGCAAACAGAGCTCGCAATTTTTCAGTGAGAACCAAAACAACAAAAGAGCCTGTTGGCTGGCATTTTCCAGCTCAACCCGAGGAGGGAATTCTGCTTCAGACCCAGCAAAGACAACCTGATGAGCCTCCAATAGAGAAATAAACAAAAGGCAAATAAATGCCAGACTCCTAAAGGCCCAACACAAAGATACAATACAAAAAAAAAAAAAAAAGAAGGGAATCTTCCATAATATATGTTTATTTAAATCTGTTCTGTTTTATCCTAAGCCTTAAGTTAACAAATAAACAATCAACTGATATCTTTTAATCTAGCTGCATAAAAATGTTCACATAATTTACAAAAAACCATGAGGCAAGACCTAACTTTGAATCGGTGCATTTTCGTAACGAATCGGTAGACCCTCCTGCTATTAAATGATCTCATCCATTGTCCCCTCAATCAAACACATTGCACTGTTCAGGGTTTGTTGGCTTTTCAACTTAATCATCCGTTCTGTTTCCTATCAGATTCTGCTCACCTTAACTTGATTTCTACAGTCTCTCTATCCCATAGCGTGGCCTGATTGGCTGACAGTGCACAGACGAGCTCTAACACGCCATCAGGGCACATATCCGTGAAGTTTTCACTTCTATTCCTGTGATACATTTTCTCAGGGAGCATGAAATAGCTTCTCAGTACCTCTTTTCCTTTTACATCTGCGCCCATCTCTCTCCCTCTCTCTCTTTCTTTATGCTTTTTATGGCTGAAAGAGAAGCCAGAGCAGAGATGGCTCCATGTGATAGGACTAAATGATTGAAGATGTGCAGATGATTCACCCTTCAGGGATAATCCAGTGTGGGGCTGATAGTGGGCAGGTGTGATAAGGGCAGTAGGCTCCGCCTGTGATAAGACCTTCCATTAGACAGCGGTGAGTCGGCCAGACAGCTGAGTGTGGTCATCTTCCTCCCTCCTGTTTTCTCTTAGATCATGATGCCTATCATAGGATTCAACACTGGCCAGTATTCTGGAAATAAACTAGAAAGTTTCTGTAAAAATCCGAAAAAAATGAATCCAGCTAAAGAAATGCTTTAAAGGAATCAAAAATATGATTTATTTTATGCTGGAGTTTAAGATTAAGTTTTGAATATGTCAGCCTAAGAATGCAGCAACAGCACGAAATTAACCAAGTATGTCACCAAAAGCCAGGTAAAAACATTTCCAAGACAGGAACAGCAATAGACTGAGAAAAACAGAAATATATTAATGTTGAAACTGCATAACAAAGCTAAAAGAGTCAAAAACGTCTAAATTTACTCAGCAGCAATAAGAAAATACTCAAACCACCAGTTAAACAACAAATATTCTAGCGCTGATTAATACAAAGTTACACAGATGTAAGCCTCTACTATGAGGTTGGATCTTGATGTTTTATATATTATATAATAGTTTGGATCTTCCTTATGGTTTCTTGTGGTCTTTGGTTTTACTTTAGGTTCCTGTCCCACAGTGAGTTGTAGACTATACCTTTGTGGCATCCGTCCTGGATGTGTCATCAGTATACCTGGGCTACATATCCATTATCCATTTGGGTTTATAGTCATTTATTTTATTATAATTTTTTGTCTCTGAATTAGTCAGTTCTTTAGTTATTCCATAGTGGCCTTTCTGGGGGACTTCAGTGGATTTTTCCTCCAAATTTTGTTCATTCAGTGCTCTCTTTGCTTGTCAAAGCGAGCACTTATGCTCCATTGTTCCCCCTTAACTCTTTTTCAGTATAACTTTAAACCCAACTAATGAAGAAGGCTAAATTTTTGGATGTAAAAATGTATTTTAAAGGTCTACAATTTCACAAATTGACAGAAGTGTTCTCTTAAATATAAAGTACAGACCAACTCCTGGGGGAGACGATGAAGCAGCGTAGCTGTGTTACAGACAGCTCCAACGTCTCAGTCTGACATGTTTCTCTGCTGAACTCTTAATTTTAGCCTTTTAGAGCGAGGCTCCAAGCCTTTTCTGTCACTTTTTAATATACCCAACACATTCAAAAAAGCATATCTAAAATTAATGTCACCAGGCACAGTTATTTCAAACAGCCAGGTTCTATAATAGGGAACGTTTGCTTTCTGAATACTACAGCTGGGAAGCCTTGAGCTTCAAATACTACATTAGTGGTTTGATTGGATCTATGACATCAACACAAGACATGCTGTACTAGTGTACTGAAGCAACTATATCAATAAGTGTTTTTAAATAAAAGCAAATCGAACATGTCATGCATTGAATTTTTTTAGAATAATTTTTAAATGTTGTAATGTACATTTTGAAATGCACTAATAAACTGCTTCAAGACTATCTATTGAAATTTCCTTCAAATACATTTCACTAGAACATTAAAAAAAATATATTTTAAGCTCTTAAGAGTATTACTTCAACTTGCATAGTAGCCTAATGCAGAACATTTGATTTTAGTTGTGGTTTTATTATGAAGTGACACAGATGTTCATTTATTTCAGCAACTCTTCAAAGTGAGAAAGAAAGGAGAACAGCATTTAAGAGTGAAAAATTTGTTTGGTTCTTAATCACTATAAGTATATAGAAACTGGTCAATAACTGAAGAATTAATAGAAGAATTATTATAAACCTGAAAAACAAGCTTAATTTTAAACACAAGGCTCGTTGAGAACCTGATTTAATCTTGTCATTAAATGGTGAGCCGGATGCTAATGGATAGCAATGTTTTTTCTCCCACTGCATAAATATTTTCAAATGGATTGAAGCTTTAAAGACAATTCTTGTACTTTGAATGGTTTGTATTGCTTTACGTGTTTGCAGAACAAGAAAAAAGTATCACCACATAAACAAACAACAAAAAATAAGAATTAAATCCTACAATTCTATTCATCTCAGTTCTACTGTTTATAGAAGTGTAGTTATAAATGTTTGAGCTGTTGTCTGAACAAGCAGTGTGTTCACATTTAAACACACTTCAATAAGTATCTATCTTTATGCAGGCAGACAGTTAGAAAGCTGTTATAGATGAGGAGTTTAGTCCTCTGACTATGCATACTAAGGTGATGAATAAAGAGTGAGAACTCGTTTTTAGTTTGTTCATTAAAGTTTTTTTCTTTTAGCATAGTAGAAAGGTGTGCATTTCTATATCCAGGCAGTGTAATGCATTATTTCCAATGTAACAATGTAAACAGCCAATGGCATTTCTTGGATTTCTGTGAGTTCTATGAATTTTAATGCTGCTGTCTAGTACGTTTCAGATGAGACAGAATTAGCCAATACTCAATGTGATGCTCAGACTACCGTTGCATATTTCACCATTTCCCTTTTTACCTCTTCTTCCATTGTATTCCTCCAGCTTTCTCGCTCACACTTGGCTTTAATGAGATGATCTCCCTTGTTTTTCTTTTATATGCAGCCACATGTGTTGTCACAGCTGCCAGTTCTGTACCAATGTGTGTGGCGCAAACAAGCTCGCACAAGGGGGCTATTGCCAACTCATTCAAACAGTAATGACATAAAAACATCTCTCCTTCCAACTCTGATCTGTTCCAGCACCAACTGTCCTTCTCATCTTGTCTTCCTGCCACTATGTTTCTTTGCAGCCTGCCTCTATTTTCTCTGTAGAGATGCACTGTGGGGCTTTATCGTGGGTGTTATGGACCTTTAGATTCATGATCAATACCAGTGCTATGATCTGCTATTTAGCAGGGGAATAAGTGAAGTGGCCACATTCTTGTGTTGTAGTGTCTCCCTTGGTTAACAAAGACAGACAGACTGAAAGGCAAAGAATTGCAGAAAAACAACGTCAGATAAGCCCATTATGTGTTGGAAGCACAAACAGCTGTTTCATCAAAAAGGAAACACCGCAGAGACCCAGATGAGGTGCTAAAAGAAGAAAAGGGGCTAGAATAAAGACAACAAAGAAAGACAAAGCAAAAAAAAAAGGAAAAAACATCACGACTAAAAAGATAGAACACATCCAGGTAGAGAGCCCATGTGCTCAAGCTTCCATTTATGAGAAAACTGATGCTGCCATTCGAATGTGAGTCAATGCAATTTTTGGGGTGCTAAAAGCAATTAAAGCACAGAGACTGGTGCATCCTAAAGACAAAACTCCTAGACCAAATATGAGCAGAGTGGTGTATACAGTTCAATGCAGTGACCAATGCTCTGATCTTTATATTGGAGAAACCAAACAACCTCTCCACAAACACATGGCCGAACACAGAAGAGCTACCTCCTCTGGACAAGACTCAGGTTCACATCTACACCTTATGGACAAAAAGGACATTCTTTTGAGGACCAGAATGTTCACATGTTGGACAAAGAAGACACGTGGTTTGAAAGGGGTGTGAAGGAAGCCATTTATGTTAGAAAGAAAAAAACAACCTTAAACAGAGGGGCTGAACTCAGGCTTCAGCTTTCAAAAACCTACATTGCAGCAATACAGTTTATTTCCTTACCTCCATTATTGTAACTTACAGGGAAAAAGAGGACCTTGCCTTTTCAGCCAGGCCAGCAATTCCCCCTAACGACCCCCATTTCGGAGGCACAGACCAGTATCAGGTGTTGCAGGCTAACAAAGAACCCAAATGGCAGCCAATACCTAAGGGACAGATCTGGAGTCTAGTTCAATTTGCATGTTTTCTAAGCCAGAACAAGGCTTTGTTTTTGGTCCACTATTTTGAATTGAAAAAGTTGCCTGGATGGGAAGCGTAATGTCTTCAAACTTGGAAACAAAGTCCAGTGTATTGTTTTTTTTAACTTTTTTAGAACAATTAAAGAACAAAATATGTAGTAAGACATGTTTCACTAGATATACATGTCCAGAAATCATTGAACACAATGTAAAAAAATTAGATGTTTAATTTGGTGTCTCGATAGAAAAATGATTAAGAAAATTTTTGAAGCGATGCAAAGACTTTTAAATCAGCAAAATCTGGTTGCTTGCTGAAGAGGAACAATGAGCAAAGAAAGAAAGACCAAGGAAGGCCAAGCTCCATCTTAGAAAGTCCTTATTGAATTATCAGGTGGTTAATTCAAAGAATATGCTACTAACTAAAAACAAAAAAGTTTGAGTAACTTTCACAGTTAAAAATCAAACGTTCAATAAATGTAGGATGTAGTTTATAATACCAAAAAACATCATAATAATACCAACACAAAAATTGAGGTTTTTACATCTAATACATCTATCCAGATATTCAATCTTACTCCACTTCCACTTCCTGTTGTAGCTGGTTTAAGTACCTTAAGGGTTTATAAAATATTTAAGATCTATAATGTCCGGTAGCAACTTGATTTGTTTGCCTTTTCTGCCATTTTAGTTAGGTATATACAAAATAGATAAGTATCTGCCCCAGGATGGAGGGGCGTGGCTATTTCAGGGAGAATAAGTGATGTAATGTTGAATCTATTTGGTGAAAAGTGAACCAAGTAAACTGTAAATGTGGCCAAAAGCAAACAGGAAGGAGAAAGAGGAGGAAAGACAAAGGAGAATAAAGAACCTGCATGGTGTCAAGTCCTGTGTGAAGGACACTATGATGTGTCCCGTCTTCTAATGACTCCCACATCTGCTAAGTAACTCCCACTGTTCCTGTGGGGCCGCAGTTCACATGAGCTCCCTGTTGTGAGGGTTTCAGCTTTGCCATCTCATTCCTTTTTACTGGCGTCTCCTGGCTGTGCAGTATTGATCTCTGATTCGAACCAAAGCTGTGTCACTGCCACAGCCTCTGCTCCTTCAGCAGGTAGCCTTGAATCAAAGCTCACGCAGTCTTTTAGACAGATGGCACCCTTTGGCCACTAATGACGAACGGCTGATGGGACGCTGTAAAAGATTCATGACCTGTGGAGATGGCCAACTTCCCATCTCTTTCCCGTTTTTCTGTCCTTATCTCCCTTTACTCTTCTTTAATAACTTCCCCTAACCTGCACCATCTTAAATTTGAGCTTTTCATCTCTCATCCGCCATGAATGTACCTGAAAAATGCAGACCTCTGGTGATCTTTTTTTTATTTTCCTCCTCTTTAGCTCACTATTTTTCTGTCTATTAAACAGAGGGTGGAAAATGAACTTGTGCCCCTAAAGGAGGACAAATTGCTACCGGTGAAGGAATGAACAGCCAGGGATGGAGTGAGAAGGAGAGAGAAGTAAAGAGATGCCTTGCTCCTGTCGCCTTATCTTTCCAGGGAGGAGGGTGAAATGTCAGCTGTGATGCTGAGAATTCACCTCTTCTGCCACCTGTACAGTAATTGTCCTCTATTCTGTGAGTCACTTAGAGTGCACCAGCTATAAGCATGCAAATGAGAGATTGAAAATTGGGCTGCATTAAAGTCAAGAGCTGGAAATATCAAAGTTTGCTTGTGTGGGTGGAACAATTTCCATAATAAAACCCAAAAGGAGAAGTTGGACATTTCTTTACAAAAAAAAAAAAAAAGAAGAAGACGTTTGACAGTAAATTGGGTGAAAAATACAACAGACAGAAGTGATCTAAGTGCTTACCTGGTAGTGCAAGAGTGTGTTAAGTCTTTTCCAGTCGTTTTCAATTTTAGTGGTGATGTCTTCATCCTGCAGCACAACTCGAGCCATTCGACCCTGACGCCACTCTGATGACAAAAGCAAAACAAAGTTATTTCTATGGGGTTCAGTTTTGGAAAAAGAAGAACATCATACAGTCAAAGACAAATATACGTTAGATATTATTAACTTGGGGTGTCGCAGATTTGAAATTTGAAAATAAAATTAAAATGTCAAAGTGTTTTTCTCCTGTTGTTGTACCTTTAATGTAAAGTTACTTCCTGTAAAATTGACACTTTCAGCTCCCCTGTTTTACTCTCTTTGAGTTCTTCATTAGCTGACTTGTACAACACCTTCCCTCCCTTGGTGGAGGGATCTGCTTTTTTTCTTGAGGTGGCTCCAGCTGTTTCCGGGAAAGGACAACCTTTGCATTGCAAGCTGTCGGTTCCATGAAAAGATGCAGTGGTGCAACCATCCTTCTGAATTTTGCTTTTATCAGCAACATGACTTGGAGGACATTTGTTTAGTAGCTAGACGTGTTACGCTCCTGGAGAACTTTGAACAATGATGACTAGACTGAGGTTTGCCTGGCCAACTCCTCAAGGACAGGATGAGATTAGACTCCTTCAAGATGCATTAAGAGGACAGTCTCCATACACACACTGGACAAGAAAAAAATAGCAATACATTTATTTTTATGAGCAAATAGAGTCCGTGCCAGGAAAGAAATATGCTATAGACTGGAACTATTAAACAAAATTGTGGCATAATATTAATGCTAAACTAATAAACATCTTGGTGTTCAGTCTGACAACAAATTCAACTGGAGATGCAACTGTTAAGGCATTTATAAAGAAGGGACAGGACAGACTTTGAGAAGTAAAGAGGCTTAGGTCCTTTAGTTTTCAAGCAAGATGCTGCATATTTTCTATAAATCTGTTGTACAGAATATGATCTTGTCTGCCATCATCTGCTGGGTAACAGCATCACAGGAAGTGACTGAACAAGCTAAGTTAAGTTTGCTCTAGTTTAGTAACTCCACTAGATCCACTAAAGATTTCACCAAGAAGAATTGTTCATAAAATGAAGGACATTATGGATGACTGTGAGCATCCTCTTAAAAGTGTGTAAATTCAAAGATTTCCTCAGATACAGTGCCAGACAGATCACTACAAAACCCTTCCTAAAATGTTACAAAAAGTTATTATTTCGCTGTAGGATCGATGAATTATTTTGGAACTGAACTGAATTGAAGTAAACTTGGTTATATTTAAAGCTGGAATTCAACATGTTTTCTTTGAACTCCTTATCTTCCTTTGAAGATTTAGTTAAAAATTAAGCAAATCGAAAAAAAATTGCATATTTACTTTCTTAGTATGATTAAGTGTAATACAGAATATAAGCGATTTCCGATATATGATTAAGGTTCCCAACTTTTCTTCTTAAATACTATACCTGAAAAATTTTTATTTTTTGGATTACTAAAAACATGTCTACCTAAAGGCCAGTAGCTGTTTTACCATAAACGTTTTCAAACATATTTTGCAAATATCATCAGATTCACCAGATGTCTCAAAGTTTAGGGGCAGGCTGAGCAGAGCCACAGAAGATGCAATATGTTAAAAACACAGTAGGAGACAAATCTATGTGGAGGCACACAAATTAGGAAATATCTGCAGAATTCGTGTTTTGCATCAGACAGGGATCAATAAGAATGTTAATTTAATATTTCACAAGAACATTTAAAAGATGTATTTAGGCAGCCTGCATGCTTTGATTATTACATGTGTCACATATACAGAAGCAGACGCATCACTGAGGGGAGGAGAAAAAGATCGGATTGAGAAGGAAGCTCAGAAAAAAGTAGTTTCTTTATAAAAAAACAAAAAAGATAAAGAACAAATAAAAACATCAAGTAACATTGGTGGAGGGCGTGACTGAGTAGCAATAGAATGATAATAGTGGTCACAGGGAGGTAGATAATCAATGTGGGCCACATACTGGGAATGATCACTGATTTTCCCCATGCTGGTTGGATTTGTATTGCTTTGTGTCTCTGCCAGATGACCACATGATGCCTCTGTCTGGCACAACATTTCCTCAAAGCCTAATCTACGCTCCAATCTGAGTTATAAAGAAAACGGTACACTGCAGACAGCCTCACCCAGATGCAATCACTTTTAAGCAATTATCAGACAGCAGTGTTGTAGGGACATATTTGAAATAAGCATGGTTGGGGGGAATTATTGTTCTCTATGCTTGTGTGAACTTCAAAGAAATTGTGGCAATGAACAGACTGATTGGAGGCTAGCAGAACAGAGGATGGCAGTGGTAGACTGTGTGGGAGTGGAATTCATTTCCACGTAGATGAGCCAGACGGTCAGCTCTTACCTGGATGGCCACGTCACGGATATAAAAAAATGCATTAACAGATGAGACCAGTTCTCTATTTAAATCTATTGAGGCTGGTTGTTGGCACCGCCAGGCGTGGGAAGCCAGCCAGTCTGAGGGATGCTCCACACATCGTCCATCATTTTCTTTAAAGCAGCACATCAAGACTGGCTGGGCTGCTGAATCACAGCTTTATCACGCTGATGTACTGATAGGTGTTCTCATACTAATACCTAACTCTTGAGGTGCAAAGGACTCTAAACCTGTTAGTTGCATCTGTGTGTTTGTGTCTGTACCTAGGTCCATGTCGACGGCCCGCGGCCGCTGAGAGTAGGGCATGTTCTTGTAAACAGCATCAAGTATCTTCTCCTTCACTTGAGTGATCGTGTCGCAGTTCAGCACCTTCACAGGGATCTCTGGACTGTTTTCGTTGTCTGGGTTTACACAGTTTAGGATCTGGATTATAGAATGAGAGAAAACAAAGCGAAGAAGAGAGAGAGAGAGAGAGAGAGAGAGAGAGAGAGAAGCATTGGTTAAAAAAAAAAAATAATAATAAAAGATGGCGGCCCCTTGTTTCTGAGTGGACGCAGGTCCAGCTTGAGGCTTTTCCCTCATTATAGTAGCCTAGGGGCATAGCAGGAGCTTTGAGAAACCATTTCCGCTCTTACTGGCATCCCAAAATCTAATTTCACACCTTCGGCGGGACACCAATTTCCAGCACTGCTGGGGTATTAGCACGTAATGAGCCAAATTCCCCGTCAGAGCAATCAGAGCATTGTCATGTCCCATGCTGGTTGTGTGAGAGGCTTCCTTTTTTGTGTCCGCTCATTTTATTAAGTGAGGAGAGGTTTGTCTATAAACACCTACCTTGATGTTGGACCAACAGGACGTCCTGTTGGAGTAATCGCTACCCCCCCACCATGGTAGTAGAAGTGAAATACAGGTGAATTGCTCTACAAAAGTATTTAAGCCCTTTGGATGTTTTCACACATGTTAAAATTGAACATTTTGATCTGTCATATTTAGAGCATCTTATAATCTAATGTAATGCACCAAATTACTATTTTTTGGCCCTTTCATAATGCTCTAAATGTCATATTGAACAATATGTGAAATATTTATGATATAATGTTTTATTGGAGGCTTTTGAGATTATTTAATCTACATTTCCATCTTTATGGGCAGTAAACTTCCATCTATGGAAAGAGAAGATTGTTTTTCATTATCCAAACCTGAGGTGGACAATCCAAGTTCAGAAAGCAAAAAATCTGCACAGATATTATTTTCAACCATTTGTATTATCAAGTCTACAATAGACAATCTTTTTAGTATTTAGCTAGATCCATTGTTTCAGAAACACTGACCAGCCTTCTGGGGCCACCACCATGTTTAACTATGGAAATATAGGCTTCGGGTTTATGTGCAGTATCTGACCACATGTACAATGCATTTTGCATGTACTGCACAAAAGCCACAGAAACCTCTAATTTGGCCTCGTCACCCAAGGCCACTTCCTTACTTCTTTACGTCTTTAATTAGTTTTTTGTTTCTTTCTGAAATTGCTTTCTTCTCTCCAGTTTATTAAAAATTAAAAGTCAGATTTGTGCACCACAAGTATCAAACAGTTGCCGGCGGGACAGATTCCCTCCCCTCATCCGTGGCTTGCTGCAGTAGCCTGAAACATGACATATCAGTCTGAAAAGTAGTGGATAGAGGCATATTTCAAAAGACTAACAGAGTCAGCGGAAACAATTTAGAACTAATCAGATACATGTATGGATTTAACAAAAATACCTATATTGTTTTTTTTTTGTTTTTTTTTTTTAAAGCTTTCACAGAGGACAGTTTTTGAAATATCAACATAGTCATCAGCTGTTTCGGTTCAATAAAAGACATCACTACAACATTGCAGCTAAGTAGCTGCTATCTTGACTGTTAAAGTAGTAGCCATTCAAAATGTCCCCACTTTCCTTGATGGGCTCTTGGCTGTTCCTTGGCTGGTCCCCTACAATTCCTTTTGAAACATCAATCTTTGTACTAAAATATTCTTTCTGTCATGATTTGTGGACATTAAGATCTAAAGAGAAGCACCTGGTTAGAACTTGTGATTCAGTGAAAGGGTGGAGCCAGAGTAAAAACCATTTAAACGCTCAGGAGAAGGAGGGGTCACTCCAGTGGCTGGTAGTTGGAGGGGACTTTGCTGGGAGTTGCAGGGAAGTGGGCTGCCATTCGGCTGGCGTTTGACTGGGAATGGCCATTTTGAGTGGCTGCTACTGTATAATTACAGAACAGCACTGCTGCGTTAGGAGACCGCTTCCCTCACTGTGATTGGTTAACGTCTCTGTTAGACAGGAGAGTATTGAACCTTGCCAGACTGACTGATTGTGTGGTGCATGGATTAATTGGTGCATCTCTCCGATTGTAAGCTGTTGAAATATGACTTTTGTATGTTTTTAGCAAGGGCACACTCCTTCCATTTTTATTTATTTATTTTTTTTAACTCTTATTGAGTTATTATTGAGTTTTGGGGACGTTTTAATACCTAACTTTGTTTCTACCTAGTTTCCTTAAGCTCGTTCCTGATACTTCTGCTCTGTTCTTTGGTTTTCAGGATCTTTTTTTCCTAAAAACATTTCAGCAAATATCTGCCCAAGTTTAGCAATTTTTTCTAATGTTTATTTAAAAAAAATAAAAATAAAACAACAACGTTTCGATCAGATTCGCAACTATGTTGTTCTATGATATACATTTTTTAGAGTTTATGTCTTTAAAGTGACAAATGTGAAAAACTTTCACTTTGATTTACAGTCATGGTTTATCTTAGAAATGAAAAATGTGAAATAAATTTAAGCCCTGATGCCGTTTCTGTTGTCCCTAATTTAAGACAAAATCAACTATAAGTATCTGTCAGCTCGGTAGCTCCATGTTTGATCGTGTCTGTGAGCCTTTTGGCAAACTTCTGCCATGTCTGCTGGTGTGTGACGTACCAAGGTTTTGTACTCGATCTGCTGGCGGATGAGCTTGTCCTCGCTCAGGGAGTAGCGGGCCTCTCCGGTGATGGCGTCAATGGGCCCCTTTTCCATCTGCTGCTTGATGGCGCAGTACAGCATGAACAGCGGCTCCCCTGCACACTCCTGTGAGCACAAACAAGCACAAACAGACAGACAAACCCACAGGTTCACACATGACAGAGCACCAAGGCAAAAAACAGAAAAACAAAACCTCATCAGACTGAAAACACTAACTGCATAATCAAATGGTTAATCTTAGGGGTTCAATAAAACAAAGATCCATTTATATGTGCATATATAAGCAGTACAGATTTGTAGTAGCACTAACCTTCAGGAATTTGTGAAGCAGGAAGGCGAACCAGTTTGTGAGCATCTTCTCAGCAACCGACTCCGTTCTGAAATTACATGAAGTAGGATCATAAAATGTAATAATTCCAGCCTCTTCATTAAAATAAGCAAAAAAATCAGAGAGCTCCATATTTCATGAGAGTGTAAGAAAAACTTGAGGGAGAACTCTGACATCTTGGGCTATAGAGCAGTCTGCCTCTGGTTTTGCTTGTAAACTGCCTCCAACCTCCTGGTCACAGTGAGTAAGCAGAACGGAGCCAACAGGGGGCATCTGTGCACGCGTGTTTGTGTGTGTGAGATGGAGCCGGCATGCATGCAGTTGATTATTCATGTGCGGTGCAACACAGCAGGACATCAGCAGCTGTGACAAGCCTCAGCTGTTGAGAGAGACGAGAGCTGTCACAGCCAGGTAACGCCTGATCGCAGCCAAAACGATCTCTTCTCCTCTCATTTCCTCCCTTCCTCCTCCCCACCTCTGCTGCCCTTCCCAGTCAATCACAAATGGAGCTACAGCCCGCTGCTGGGCTTGATTGGGCATGAAAAAAAAGACACACAAGAGTGCAATGACCCCCGACTATTTCTGCCACACAACACGCAAGAAAACTTTGTACGCTGTTTTTTTTATGATTCACATATTTTGCTCTAAATGCCAGACAAATATCTCTACCTCTGCCTCATTAGCAGCATCGTGAATCACCAGAGAACAGGACTTAGAGAAAAAAAAAAATACAGCAATTGTTAATGAGCAAGAAGCTTAGATGAAAGGCTTTATAATATTCACACAAAGTAGATGAGGTGAATAGCAATAATGAGCCGCTGACTCATTTTGTAAAAAGGCTTTAATGTCTTAACATTACTGAAAATCATAACAGGGTAGAAATAGGAGGCCAGGATATGGCGTTGAGCTTGAAGCTAGGCAGGAGTACAGGTGTGATCTAGAAGGATAATAATCTATTTTTTTAATACATCAAGATGAGGACATAGGGCTTCTGATTTGATTAAAATGCTAAAAAATGATTATCTTTGTGTGTTTATGACCCAATTTTGTGTGGCAACAGAACAGTCGATGGTCTACTTATAGGTTTACACATTGAAAAAAATGTTAATCTAAATAAGTCATTTTTTATTTAAATGAGTGCATTTTGTCTTGAGTTACGGAGGTAAGTGAAACACTTTGCCAATGGAACAAGACAATTTACAGTTACAATAAGAAAAGACTATTGCATTTTCTTATTTTAAGTTTATATTATCTAATTATCTTATTTTAAGAGTAAAAATACTCATTCCATTAGCGGATCATCTTATTTACTTACTTAAATTCAGGGTAAATACACCTAATTTAAGAAATATTTTACTCATTTCTAATTTTTTCAGTTATTAACTGCACCAAGCTACCTCTGAAAAAACAAACAAACAAACAAAAAAAAACAATATGGATGAGAGCCATACTCTATAGAGAACTTTTAAAAGTAAAATTAAAAGGAAGCCAGAGCCACTCATAAGCTGACAAAAATGTATTTACAGTAGAACCACTTTGTAGCCTCCTAATTAAACTGATTTGTACAGAAAAATTCCCCCTAGGGGTTAGTAGCATCACCTCTTAACTGAAACATCATTATCTACACGGGTTACATTTAAATTAGAAATGCATCACAAAACAAATCCTTATTAAGTTCACTGGTGTTCAACTATTGACATTACATTAAATACATATAATATACAGTTTGGTTGGTTGGTTATTCTAGTTGAAAAAAATAAACTCTGTACAATTAAGAACAACAGTCATCACGTACTGTCAAAAACCTATTACTGGTTTTAAAAAGTTAGATTTTCGCTGCTGTACATTTTTACCAGAGTGGACATTAGAAGATGCAACAAGGCATTCAATAGCCAATTAAAAATGTGATGTGAAATAAATTGTGTTTCTTTTAAAAAAGTGTGTGTCCTTCACTAAAGTGATAATAATTAAAGTCGGTTCAGTTCTACAACAGTTTTTTTTGTTCCCAAAGGGAAATTAAAAGCTGTTGTAACTCTTTAAAGGGGTTTTGTAGATGGTAAAATCTGTTGGCAGGAAGGATCTCCTGTTTCTGATCTGGGCAGAATAAGAGCCTGATGCTCAGGGCTCAGCTTAAAGAATTAAATCAATAACCCTGGAAAGTCTACAGAAACATTTTATATATCTTCAAAAAAAAAAAAACACGTTAGACAGAAAACTTATTCAGTAGGACACAATTTTTCAGACCACCAAGATTGTCGTTGTATGTAAAACAAAATGCTTGAGCTAAAGGAGGCATTATGTAGTGAATTTTGTTTTATTATTGCTGCAAGCAAAGAACACATATTTTAATGGAAATTTGAAAAAATGTAAAACACGAATGAAACTTTGAGAAACTTCAATTTTTTTCTTATTTACTGAATATTTATATTTACATTTTTTTTTCAAATTTCTCTGAGTTTTATGAATAGCATTCTTTTGAAATTATGTTTTTGCGGATCATATTTACTTAACTTCAAGCCCAATTCAAACCTTCACTCTTGACCAAAGGAAATATTTCTAAATTCATGCAGACCTATAAAAAATGCATCTTCCTTCCTCACTCCACAGAAAAAGCTGCCCCAAGAAGAGAAGGTGATCTGTAAAGAGCATTTTGAAATACAAAAAAAATAAGCAATTCTTAAAACTCAAACTGGAAAAGTAACATTTGAAAAAAAAAAAAAAAATCTAACTTAAAAAAAAAGTAAAATCAATAAACAGTAACAGTTTTTCAATTAAGACTTTTAAGTTTTTATTTCTAAAAATATACTGTTTTATTCACAAAACCTTTTCTTGCAACAATCTTTGAACAAATTTCACTCCATAAGGTACCAGAAGATTCCATGAGCATTTAAAAAAAGGAGGAAGAAAAGTCATCTAGCCAGTAGCGCACTGGTAAGGATCCAAATATGATTTATCTGCTTGCTGCAAGCAGTGTGGTCCACACCAAAATTACTGGTATTTCTTCTCCCTGCTTGAATGCGATAGATGCATACAAGTTGACAAACCATGATAAAGTGCATCTGCTGGGCTTTAGACTGTGACGGCTTGTAATTGCCACCTGGTTGCAAGAGATCCCTGCTATAATGCTCTGTATGTGACTGCTGCCAATTTCCCCGACAATGCATTGAAAAATCCCAACCCTTTATGCAGCAGTAAATTACTGTGATTACACTGGTGGATATGACAGGGGACCTGGCATTGACCTGTCGATTACCACAAATCGAAGCAACCAGGTATTAAAGGCAAGATAGAAGGCTTCCTTACCCTCAACAATGTGAGGAATGATTATACCTGAACTGATGTTACAGCTTTTATTGGATATAATTGCGTTAAGTCGTGTTTAAGGTCTGTAAGTTGGAGTCTAGAGCTGAAAAAAAAAGTCAGAGTCACAGAGGTCAGGCAGCTAATATTTAGCTACTGGGATGAGGAAGAGAGGCGGTAATTCTCAGATTCTCATTAAAGCATTGAAAATTGAGGAATTTACTTCTGTTTGAAATGAAAAACTGGATTTTTTCCCCACCTCTTATCTGTAGAAAGGAACACCGGGGTTATATTTTGTCTTGAATGATATGTGGCTGGCGAAGCATTGATGATGCCTCCCACAGCCGGAGGCTATTCCCCTGTGATCAAATCTGCTGGCCAGTCAATTGGCAGCTCGCTAAGAGAGGAACAGGATGACAGCCCATTAAGTGTGATGTTTCAACAGGGACGGGATTGGGTTGCCTAAAGGTGGTGTAGGTAAGTCCACTCATTTTAACATGCAGGATGGAAAAATATAAGGCTGAATAACAAAACAAATCTTTCTCCTTTACTGATCAAATATACTGTCACAAAATGTACTTATTCTATAGAAAAATTTATTTCACTTGAATTTTCAGAGTGAAGTTATGACAAACCTGGGTACAAAAGTTGAAACCCTCTATGGTTAAAATGATAAAGAAAGGCTTATAATTAAATCATTTAATTGGTAGTAGCAAATTAGACATTGCCAGAATAGAAAAGAAATATTCCATATTGTGTCTAAATTCAAGCGTAAAAAACGTGTCCTTTACGCAACCATTAAAAACCTCTTGCATAAGAGGTTGGATATTAGATAAATCGTATTACAAAAAAGTATAAATAAACACAATTATTTGACCTTTTATGGCTAAAACAAGTTTAATGATCATATTGACACCTCAGTGGTTCAGCACTTATGCATCTATAAGCCTGTAACCTATTTTTTTCCCTATGTGCACTTTAGGTCGGAAGTTCCCTCTCTCTTCTGCGGATGTGACGTAAAGTTTGCCCATGTTAAATTGGTCCAACCTAGCAAAAAATGGAAGCGTTATCAAGTATGAGCGCAAGCTGCGGCGAGCGTGCTGCAATTCTATGTTTTAGCCACAGTGGGCAGTCTCAAAAACCTGTGCAATACCTCTTCAACAGATTTGATGCTTAATTCACAAATATTTACTGGGCTTAAGATCATAGACCAGAAGCCTAATGTTAGGCTGCTTAATCCACTCCAAGTCCAGTTTTTAAGTGTGTTTAGTATACTTTCCAGTTCGAACCACAATTCATCCAAGTTTTAACATAAAGTTATTGACATGAGAAAAATGTTGAGGATTTTGAGGTAGCCCTTCATTGCCAAACTATCACATTTGTAAAATGCGCCAAAATATCTGGCAGCAAAACATTTCAACACAAGATGCTACATACACCATGCTAAAGTTGTAGTGTTCTTAGGATTGAAAGTTTGACCTTTGAAGAAACTACTTGTTGTGTCAACATAACTCAGTTATGGTCGCATCTAACAATAAAAGTCTCTAGGTTGACCTGCATTGTAGGCTCTTCCATGTTATGCTTAGCTAAGGGTGTTATTTCAGATGCATAAACTTTGTTTGTATGGCACTTGACATTTTTCAAAGGGTTGACAGTAATACTGAAGTTACAGCAGCTTCCAGTTTAGCATTGGGTGGTTACAACAGTACACTGATTCCAAACACAAACCAACAGATGATTTTGGATTTT